CATATTTTTGTTGGCAGGAGGGTAAAAAAATGGTACGTTACCGGGACAACCAAGTTGTAAGTACAAAGGGTGAGCGGTTCCACGATGTGAAGAAGAATGATACTGATGAGATGAAGAAAACTTATATCAACTTAAAACCAGCACGACAGTACAGATTCCATTGACTACTTTCAGTAAATAACTTTTCACCTAGTCCGGCACGGCAGTACAGATTCCATCGTCTACCCTAAGTAATAAAATAACCGCAACGGTGATCTCATCATTTGTCAACTTCCATAAATTACAGTTACTGAAATACCATGTGTTAGTAAAACGAATCCACAACACATTGGCTGCCTTTGCGCTGTCCAAATGTAATTTACGTGTTAACTGACATTGATATATACATGTAGGACGCCTAGTGACTAACTATTTGGAACTAGTTGTATCAAATGAGCATTGACTGTATTTGGTTTATCATTTCAGTAGAAACGAATCCTGTTGCGATAGATTTAAGCCTTTACAAGTGGAATAATGTTGGTTCTAAAAAACAAACAAATGTATCTCGTGCAGTAGTGTATGACCTGTAAAGTCCCACTGATCAGCTCAGTCTTCATGTGCTTTTGAAGTGTGACTGAGTCCAGTAAGAGTTGTAGTTAGATGCTCAGTATTCTGGTGATCTGTTTTCAGTTTCCAGTCAAATAAAACTGTTTTCACCAAAAACTTGGCAAATATTATATGAACATTGACAACTGTAAATGACTTCATTTTCGCTTGGAATTAATTTTCGCTGATTCACTGAAAATAAAATCTAGCAAATATACCTTTTTTAGCTCCGCTGTCGACTTTGTCGAGCGGAGCTTATCATATGAGTGATTGTCCGTCGTCGTCGTCCGTCGTCGTCGTCCGTGTCAATGTTTTACTTTTTCGACTTCTTCTTGAAAACTACAAGCCTGAATGCTTTGATACTTGGTGTATATGTACCTTGGGTAGACCTCTCTCAGATTTGTTCATTTCATGATGATATCTTCAATTCTCTAATTTTGGTGAATATTTTTGTCATTTTTAGTAAAAAGT